TTTTTTGAACTGGTGTGGATGACAGAAAGTTTACCACCTTTATGTATATACGGTTGGTTGTACTATGTCAAAATGTAGATCGTTCATTAAATGTTTTTTTATGTGTATGGAACTACAATATGCTTTTTTTTATTTTGATTAGCAACTTAAAAGATAGATTGTAAATTGAATAAAGTTCATTTAACAGTTTCGTAATTTTAAAACAAATATACCACCATCTCCAGTAGGTCAAATTTTGTGTGGAAAAATGTTTTTGTTTTAAGCGCAAAGCTGTATAGCAAGCTATTTGTGCTGTGCCCATCACGGACACTAAATTTGAATTTTATCGTTATAAGCCATTAAACTTCCCTCTGAGCTTCTGGTGGCACTTGTGTGAGTAAAAGTGCGGAGTTCTCATTGACGTCATACAGCCACACAATATTCTGCCTGTTTTGGCACCTGCTATGTCAAGCAGCTTAGGTGCAATTTAAGGAAAGTATGATTTTGTCTTTTTTTTGCATAATTTAAAAGGATCGCAATTCTAATAATAACACACAGAAAAAGAGATGGAAATAGATAGAGAATGTAAACTACTCTACTTTTATTGTAATTAAACTTCACCCATAATTTTCTTTAATTTCTAATGTCTTGTTTATTGGTTTGTTTGTGGGCAAGAATAAGCTACAGAATGGATATCCATATTGTGATATCGAAGACCAGTTGTTATGGTTATAAGCACTCCGACTTACCGCTAGGCCACTGGGGGCGATAATGTCTCAGTAAGATTATAATTTTTCTTGTTTAATGTTCTAAGGTTTTGAAACTACACTTGATAAAGGTTTGATATGTTATCCATCGATTTTTTATGTTATCCCTGATATGTCTGCTGTATAATGAAGATATAAAATTGTCATACAAAGTGATCGTGCATCGCCAATATTAGCTCAATTTCCTTGAGAAGAGAGATATACGTTTTATATCAATATAGAGCGTGTCCGAAAAGTTTCTAGCAATAGGTGATTTGCAACATTTCATAATTTCAGACACTGATTACGGCGCTGTTATAGCATGAGAAGGTCGAATTAATCTTGCTGTCAATCTAAACTTGTTTCGAATTACAATGACAACATGTGAAACACATTCTGTAAAATTCGTTGAAGTGTCTATGGTTCCAGACACTTCGGACACTCTGTAGAAAAGTAACATGTTCATTTTTTAACCATAATATCCTCTTAACTATGTTCAATATTTCAAGAGTTTTACAGCAGAAGAAACCTAGAAAGAGATTTGATAATCTGGTGCAGTTTTGCTGCCGTAGTCATTTATAAAGCGAACTATGTGCCATCAAATAAAGACGTTAAGATGTTTATTTGACCTTTAATTAACACACCTATTTCTTTTTAATACATTTTGATTAAAAAAACAAATATGTGCATAAAATATTAAGTTTTACGATTTTTGATAAGATTCATACAGTCATGAGTGCACCCACCTCCTTAAATTTGTCTTTGGAAGCAGTTTGTATAACTTTTTGTTTCTATTATTTGTTCCGTATATTTCCTATTGACTAGAACTTTTTTCGCAGTCGTTAGCTGTGTTAACCTATTGTTCTACTTAGAGTGTTCTGTAAATAATTTTATAACGTATAATGTGAATATAATAATCGAACTTTCTAACTTGCTGTATAGGAGTAAGATTTGTCATTGGTTAATACTGGGCAATACTATAATTCTGTGTTACTTGGATCACCTCATGTATCAACAAACAAAACGAAGATCAGAAGGTCTATTGTTTACTTCGTGATGCTACTGAATATATTCTAAACTTTGAGCTGTGAGTGCGTTATTCGGTTCACAGATCTGAACAAAGCATTGTAATGGTGGCGCTGTAGTTCAAAATTAGAGTTTGCTTGTTTGTAGTTGTTTTTTATAGTTTCGCGCAAAGCTACACGAGGGCTATCTGCGCTAGCCGTCCCTAATTTAGCAGTGTAAGACTAGAGGGAAGGCAGCTAGTCATCAGTTTGTAGTTGAGCACAAAGCTAAACAATGGGATTAATAATGGTTGGAGACGGCTTGAATGGGTAATGAAGAAAAACTTTAATATAACAGCAATAGTCTTCCAGTTTATCATAGTGGTAATGAATGTTATTATTAATTTGGACGAAACAAGGGCAAATGGAATCAGAATATGTCAGGAAAAATGGTCGTAGGATGTGGTTTTTATTATGTGTTCTACTAAGGGTACCATCCACAGAACATATAGAGGCCGATGTGTACAAGAGTGTTTATTTCTGTTAATACCATACTTCCATCACCGCAAACGTCTCTGAAAATGGGTTGAAGCTGGTTCCAGATTCTCTCCAAATGAGTATATACACGTTACCTAGTTTCAGAACAAAGCAGAAGGCGTCTGTAAAACGAATATTGCTCCACATTGCATTGATTCCAGGATGTGCTCTCGATACTACTGCAGAGAGAAATGCTTTGTGTAATGTGTTTAAACCGTTTGTAAGTTGGCATGTGGCATCTGATTCAGTCTCGTGCATATATCCAACAACTGCTGTGAGCCGGGGTCAACGAGCAAAAGTCGTCTGTTTGTGTAATAATGTTCTTTCTTGACAAGTGTACCACAGACCCTCTACTGCAGGCTCAAAATATAAAAGTCCATTGAAGCTGCATCGGGAAACTTGACAGATACAATTGTATGTGGACAAACCAACCGTTATAGGATTAATGATTCTAGTTTCTTCGAACGTTTTTCTTTTGATAACAGCTGTTGACTTAAAGATCTGTCTACAAACTTGTAAACTTTCGTCAGTTTCAAACCCTTGTTTCAGTTCTATTTGTTAAATGTACCACAGCAATGTTTTTATTTGTTTAGGGTGGAGAGGGAGAAGCAAATGTTTTCTTTGATAACCTTAGCATGCACTCTGCAAATGAAAATGTTATTTTGGATTGATTTGGGGTGTGGTTTTGGAGTATGCTATTGTCATTAACATTGAAGGCCTCTTTTAATTAGAAACTCTCCCATGGCACCATTCAATTATCAAAAGTTGTTAAATTCTATGTGAAAACATATATATTGCTAATTGTGTAGTTCATGACGCTATAACTCGCATTTGCGAAGACATGACATTGCAAATGTTTCTTAGTGAGCGTTATTTAAAACCAGAACTTCCAGAGTTTTATTGTGATAGAATATTAAAAGTATAAAATAATCAGGCCTTTTTATGAATAGAAAGTGTTTATGTGTTTCTCATGTTTAATTCCACTAAATGGAAAGTTGAATGTTGGCACGTCGAGCTGGTTAATGTACAAATAAATACCTGTCAGTATTGGTGGCTGATCATTTATGGTAATTACTGATACGTTTGTTACTCAACAGCTAGGTATTACACATATTTGGTCACTTAGAGTTTCTACCAGTATAACAATTTTAGAATGGTTAAACAGTTTGTCTGTATAAATTCAGCAGGACACATCACTGTCGGTTTTCATTGTGTTTTATTAGTAAATACGTCTCTAAAAATACTCCCTATATAGAAAAATTACACATTTGAATGGAGATATGCAATTGGTCACTTATGGAAATAAGTTATTTTACTGTAAGAGATGATCTATTTTTCATTTGTAGAAATAGTTCCATAAACCCTCCGGTATACAACCTGGGCACGCTAATTTGCAAATTAAGTTAATGCCACAAGCAGTAAAAAAAAAAAAAAAAATAGTTCAGGTTGCAAAAGTAAACAACCAAACAATCTCATACAGTTAAAAGATATTGCAAAGAGCTAAATATCCTAAATTTGGGCTAATTTCATATTGTTACGACAGCGGAAGTCACGCGACGCTGGGAGCATGCGCGCTGGTATTTCTAGAAGGATCTTG